CTCGAGTCGTCTACCTGGAAAGCCGGCACGGCCGTGATCGTGACCTTCCTCGCCACCTTTGTCGTGTCGATGATCGTCCGCGGCCTGGTCAAAGACCTCCCCATCTTGTACAACCTGTTCTCCAACCTCTACCTCGCCGGCACGATCATCTTTGGCGGCGGGCCAGTGGTGATCCCGTTACTCCGCGAGTATGTAGTCGCCGAGGACTGGGTGTCCCCCCGGGATTTCCTCATTGGCCTGGCCATTGCGCAGTCCTTCCCCGGCCCCAACTTCAACTTTGCCGTGTTTCTTGGCGGCTTGACGGCGATCAACGCGGGTTACTCGGCCGTCGCTGGCTCCCTCATCGCCTACATTGCTATCTTCACGCCCGGCATGGTCCTCGTCCACGGCACGATGGGCGTATGGAGCGTGCTAAGGAGCAGACCGTGGGTAAAAACTGCTGTGCGGGGGGTCAACGCCGGGGCTGTGGGGCTGATTTACACAGCCGTATATCGGATCTGGCAGATTGGGTATCTCGACGAGGGCTTTCAGTCTGGGCGGAGTTTGGGCGATGATCCGTGGTGGGTTGTCATCACGGCTACAGCATATACTGGAGGTAAGTACTACGGTGTCGCGGCACCGCTTGCTATCCTGCTAGGAGCTGTGATGGGTCTGATTCGCTATGGGGTTGTCTCCGGACGAGAATAATACCGGGCCGCGCGGCGAATCCCGTTTCCAGAAGGCGGACGGACACTCTCGATATCTCTTTCTTGAGCCAACTATGCTCTGAGTAACACATACATATATATATATGACACAAAATAGTTAGGAACATTCGTTCAGGGTCTTTGAAAAGCGCGGGGCTAGTCTCGTCGCAGAGGATATCAGTAAACAGCACGGCTGTTCAACCTCACAATCAGCTTACAAGAACTGGTTATAACTGGCTATAACAAACAGTATGATGATGAGTGCCTCTGGTTGAGGAACCGAGTGAGCGAGGATCGAGTCACTAGATACTGAGAAAGGGTAAAATAACGCATATATCTTCCTGATGGGCAGGTTATAGTGGCTATGACTGCAAGTTTTTTGACCATAATGATGCCGTTTTGTCATCTTTTCTCGCAACTCGAGCTTTAGTCATGAGCTTCCTCGTTGAGGAAATCGGCCACGGGTTAGAAAACAACACGAAAATCCCAGCACAAAGAAGTATGAAGGTACATAACGAGTCACTCATTGCAACTCAAAAGCACGAAATGGCCTCAGTACGCTTCTTAGAAATCACGGGCCGCAAAACCGACCGATATCTCACTAGAGATGACGCCGTCGCCTCCCACCAACGGCGGTTGACAATCCGAGATGACAGGTTTCGTTTGAAGCCAACGGCGCCCGTTCTTCCATCATGCACCCACCAGCCAAGTACTAGATGATGACAGACCAAGCCTGCTCTAGATAAGGATGTGGGGGTTTCGCGTTCTCGATGCTGGACACAGGCGTCGGCGTCCCACGCTCGCGGCACCCTAGGGCAGGCGAACTGACGCATACAACGTGCCATTGGCATGCGCCGAGTCGTCGATCTCCTTGAACCACGGCCACTGCTGGTGCTGGAGCGAGGACGACAACTGAAGACGGCTGAGACTGCATGCATACCCGCACTTCAGAATACGATTCTAGATGGCCACGACCTCAGTGGACGAGCCACAGAATCGCCACGTCCTGCAAGAGACGCAGCCAGCTGAGTTGCATCGTTCCTGCCGGCTGGAATCGGGTTGAATGGACTGGGATCGTGGTTTCCGCTCCTGATCGACTTGTTCTAGAAAGAGCTCTGGTGGGGGGGCACTTGCCAATCTTTGACCCTTCCGTCGGTCAGCGAAGCAAGTACCAATATTCTTATCACGGATAGACCGAGCCGAAGCAATGGGCCTGTCAAAGGCCAAGGCCGAAAAGGATAGACAGGACGTGGACCCCGTGGAACATGATTGTTAGCAGTGATACAAGAACCTGAAGACTCTTGGACAGAAAGCAACGACCTCACGTGTTGAGGCGAGCCGAACCGTTCGGAATCACATACACGATGGTTGCCGTATCTGAGTTCGTCGAGGCTCGGGGTTGGACACAGCGCAAGTGAGTCGGGGACGCCCAGAAAGGGCACCGCAAGACAACCTTGACAAGGGAGCGTACCAGCCATCGTTCATAGCATCGCCAGAGCCCACGCTGAGCCAGGGTTGTACTATCTTCGAAGCAAAGGGAAGTGACTGAACCAATGCAGATTATCCAAACCGCCGCGCCGCACGCGCAGCTGGGAGCCTGTGCGATGCAGGCTCTGGGGTGGTCTCCCCCTCGACTGCCAGAAAAAGAAGTTTGCTCCGTCCATCGAGCAGGATGGCGTATGACTTCTCGTGAGGGGCGATAATCGAACCTTTTGGGCATCCTTGTCACAAGGAATGTGATCTTCAGAGAGACGGCGGTGACTGAGACCCAGACTCTTGGAATGAGGCCTTGTGGTCGAAGAGGCGGGTGAGTGTTTTCCAAGTTCCCCGCTCCAGCTTCAAGAGGGCTGGTCTTCCACAGTCCCAGGCGAGCGGATCAGTCTGCGGGCCAAGGAACTAATTACGATAGATGTCTGGCAATATTGATGCAGCGACTGCCAGGGTTCGGACATCACGACCTTATCTCAAGAGGGAAGCTCGAAGAACAGAATGCGAAGGATCGAGGGCGGTGGGTGGCACCTATCGCGAAGGTTGTCGTTGTCGAAGGCTAAGTCGCAATCTGGCAATGCTGCGGGACACGAACCAGGATAAGATATCCGGCGAAGGGACACCCGCTCACCATGGCGTCTTGGCTGCTTGGCGTGGTATTGCGATAAGTCGGGGTGGTTGACGAATGACAAGGTACCCCCGCAGTCGACAGGCGGCCATCGGCCAGAGTCTCTCCCCTCCTAGGTGATGTTCCAGAAGAACCTCCTCTCTATGTCGTGGTGCTAAGGAACGCCACCTGCAGCTGGACAGGGCAGAGTGTGCCAATTACCCGGAGACACCGATTCGTGGTCTCTATCGTGAGGTAAAACTTTGTCGCCTGTTGGCACCGAAGTCCTGGTGTTATCGGCGGCGGGCGTGGTGGCGTATGTGGAGAGGTTGTTTTGGGCAAGATGGAGAGAGATAGCAGAAGCGCCAAGGAACCAAGAGCACAGAAAAGGTTGATAACCGCAAAAGTTGGCTGAGTTCCAAGACAAAGTCCAAGAGAAACCAAGGAAAGCCAAGAGAGTGGTCGTGCCGCGTTTATATAGCGCGGGAGATATTCTCCTGCCTAAACGGGCCAAGCTGGACATGTTCCGGCATCCCGGCCACTACCGGTACTCGCGGGGTGGAGAGGTTGCGAGGTGTGAAGACGGACAGAGGCAGTGGATCATCAACGGCCGCACTAGATGGAAACCTATCCAAAAGAGCCTGCTGCGTGATGGCAGCCCGTCCCCCACTGCTACATGTCCCTGACGCCATTTTCAGCTCGCAAAAGTTCCCGGCATGACACCTGACTTTGGGTTATAGGATCAGAAGAAGGATCTTGGTGTTTGGTCAAGTTACATGTAACGAGGAGGAAAAAAAGAAGGAAAGACAAGAAAAGAAAACACGCTGGTATCAAACATCGGATAGCTGTTGCTCTTGGGTGCGAGTGGCCCGGGAGAGGAGATGTAGTTGAGATGAGAGAGTCTCGTTTAGCAAGCGGATCCGTTGGCTGTCAGGCTAGGTAGGCTAGCGCTAGTGGCTAGCGCTAGTGGCTAGCGAGTAATGACCTTAATGGCCCATGGCGCCGAATACCTAACCTCAATCCCCCACTTCACCACGACATTCCATGTTCCCTCCGTCCTTCACTCTGCTTTTCACACTCCCATTCCAGCCACTCGGCGGTTACAGTGGCCTCAACCATTCCAAGGATTGCATACGCTGCTTACCTGTCATGTAACCGGCCGTTGTCAGCTGTTCCACGTTGCTGTGACAATGAAGTCATGCCTTGGAGCCCTCATCCCGCTCCCCAACTACCTACCATGATAGATACGATGCGCCTCAAACTCACATGCATACGGGCCTTTTGCAAAGCTGGGCGCTTCCGCGTCTAACTTGGCTCCGCTGGTTTACGCTAAGCCGGCTTCATCCCTGCTCTGTTCTGCAACGAGCTTGTGCGTTTGCCGCGATACTCGTCCTCATAGACAAGGGCGGGCCGCAAAGACCTCCTTCTTTCCCCGTTAGTGGCACCTGGGGGTAGAAGGCAAGCGGTATGGCTATCTCGCCGAGCATCATCATACTTGCCTATTTCTAGAGCCAAGGATGCCATCACAATATTGTAGTTTGTGGTGGCGTGTTTTGAAACCCTGGCCTCAGTTCCTATTCTACGACCATCTACGACCAATGTTGTGTACCTGTGCGACCCTTAGAGTGACCGCTTTGGATAGGCACCTCAGTGTATTTTGGAATCATGGTCTTGTACCCCACTTCGCTTCGCTGTCGTCCAAGAACCGGCCAATGTCTCGTCGTACCAATGCTCCCTGGTCCCCTGCATCCCGAGATTGTTCGCACCGCGCCGAGACCTCTCAGTCGCCGGGTCTCAACCGGCGATAGATGCCCCAGACGTGTGGACCAATCCTCGCCCGCTTGCATATCTTCTGCCCACCCCTTGATATCAGTTCCATGCCTGACCGAGAAGGTGATCCTCTCGAGCGGATGGCCAAGGTGTCGCCCAGCCGTCCTAAACCGGGATTGCGCCCGAAGCCATCACGAACACCTTGCCACTTGCCGGCCAATTCGCGCCACCCAGAAGTGGTAGCCCGTCGTGTCTGTGTATACGTGAAGCACCCGCCAGGTATCCGGGCGCCAGCCATGTGGGACCGATGATAGGCGGGCGACTTTGCAATTCTTGGCTCTTTTCCGGGAATTGTTTAACTATCGCCTTCTCCCACGGGTCCGAGCCGTCTCTCCATCCGTGGTCCATAGCTCTCTATCCAAGCCTCATACGACATCGTCCAGAGCGTAATGGCGAACGAGAAGAATAACGAGCCCACCTCTCCAGCTGAGGCATGGAGGACCCAAGGCGTCTTGACCGATGAGAAGGTTGCTCCTGTGAGTGCATCAAGATCCCGTGGCAGAACAGTAATGCTATTGGAGCGCGGCCTAACACTTGAAAGAACGCGACACTCCATCGTTTAGATTCAGAGGAACAGGTCTTTGAATCGTAAGTCACAAGGTTGATGGAAATGACCCGCGGAGATGATCTCATACGTCTTTAGGCACCTCAACGTAACTGAGGATGATCTCATTGAGGCCAAGGCGATCGCCGCCACCCTCTCCTTGGAAGGAGTGCGCAAGGTCGGTCGCAATAGCTCTGGTATCTACGCCACATGTGGCACTAACTATGACGCAGATGATGCAAAACGTTCTGAGAATCCACGATCGCGACCCCAACTTCCCTCACGTCACCCTGATGAAGATCCACGAGTTTCTTGGTGAGAAATCTTGGATTTGTGATGGATGAATGACCTCAAACTAAGACTTTGGCAGACAACGAAGCCGTGTTCGACAACCCCGACAAGCACGAGCAACTGATCTGGGAGATGAAATTAGAGGCTGCTCTGATCACAAATAACAGCCCGTACGCCGAAGTCCGAGCTGTCGTCGACAACAAAGATGACCCCGAGTCCCCTTGCGGGACTATCAGAGCGTGGACGATTGGTATCTTCTTCTCAGTTTTCCTCGCTTTCGTCAACCAGGTAAGGCCGTATTGCGGGCACAGAACGTTACCGGGGCTTGTCATCCGGTGCAGCGTCCCTGTCACGATCCGACATATATATGCGGTGCTAATATGACAAATAGCTCTTCAGTATCCGTCAGCCAAGCATCAGTATCGAGTCCAACGTCGCTCAGCTTCTGGCCTTCCCCCTTGGTAAGGCTTGGGAGAAGCTGATGCCCAATGTCATCATCACAATATTTGGGAAAAAGTTACAGCTGAATCCTGGACGCTTTAACAAGCAAGTGATCCATTCCATCACTCCCGCTCTCCCGGCCTCGTCGTTCTCTTGACGCACTTTGAATACCCTCCCAAGGATAACAAGCTAGTTATAAGGAACTAACAAGTAAAATAGGAAGGAACACATGCTCATCGCAATTATGGCAAATACGGCTAAGTCTCTGCCTTATACTCAAGTATTAAACTGCGTACTATTTTCTACTTTATAATAATAGAAGCTAACACACCAAAGTATATCGTATGGAGCCAAGTTTTGCCCCAGTATTTCAACCAGCCATACGCAAAGAGCTTCGCCTACCAGCTCTTGATCGGCTTGTCGGTAGGTCTAGCTATTTATAAGATAAGCTATATGATGCATACTAAAGCTACTGTTTAGACTAACTTTATCGGTTATGGAATTTCAGGTGAGTAAAGGTTCAAGATAGTCACAACTCGAGCTTGCAAACTGTCGTGGACTCGTGATGCCTTCACCGGCATCGCGCACCGCGCGGCCCCGCGCAGGATTTCTCCGAAGTCGGAGAGACAGTTCGTCCGACCGAGCTCAGCCCCACACCGGTGACCCACTCGGAGATACGTACTTCTTCGCGCTGGACCACCCAATCCTACACTGTGGATAGTCAAGCCATTTTCCTATGATCTTTCCTAGCCGAAAAGTGCCCCTACGACACAAAACTAATAAAAGAAACAGGGTTGACTCGAAGATTCATCGTGTACCCGTCGTACTGCGTGTGGCCGGCATCGCTCGTCACGATTGCTCTCAACTCGGCGTTGCATAATGAGTCCAATGTCGCAGTGCCTGGGCCCTTCAAGAGGCTTTACTCGATGACCCGCTACAAGTTCTTCCTGTGGTCCTTCGGTAAGTATATACCTAATTCAAAACAAGTCTTAATTATATTATTCTTACCTATTTATGGCAGCTGCAATGGGAATCTATTTCTGGTTTCCAAACTACATGTAAGGCCCCGCTACTAAAGGTGTTAGCAAAATAGTAGACTAACTCTTTATAGCTTCGAAGGTATTCTTACTTTTATTCTTATAGTATTTTAAGTGTTTTACTAAAGTGACTCAGTCTTGACCTTCTTCTCATGGATGACCTGGATCTCCCCAAACAACCACAACTTGGAGATCATGACTGGATTCCGTAACGGCTTGGGCATGTTTAACTTCTGGCCTACCTTTGACTGGAACGTCATGTGAGTATCACAGCATTTCCAGTCTTGCGCAAATCTAACAATCGTTTGACAGGTTGTTCGACTCGGTCGATCCCTTGATGGTCCCGGCCTTCTCAACCTTCAATCGAACTCTTGGCATGTGGCTGATCGGCTTCATTATTATGGGAATATACTATACGAACGCTTGGAATACGGCCTATCTCCCGATCAACTCTAACCGTGTTTTCGACCACTTTGGCAAGATTTACAACGTCTCACGTGCCATCGATGACCGCGGCATGTACGACCACGAGAAGTACATGGACTACTCTGCCGCCTACCTCGGTGCTGCCAACACTCTGGTCTATGGCGCCTTCTTCGCCATGTACGCCGCTGCCGTCACCCACGTTGCCATATTCCACCGCTATGAAATCATGATGGGTTTCAAGAACATGTGGGCCAGCATCCGCCGCAAGAAGACTGCCCCGGAGGATGGGGATGGCGAGTACAAGGACGTTCACAACCGTCTCATGGCTGCATACCCGGAAGGTAAGTAGAAAAACTCTTCTGTTTGAAACTAGTGGCAAACTAACCCCATTTAGTCTCTGAATGGTGGTATTTTGGTACTCTTATTGTTGCCGCGGGCTTCGGCTTCGCTGGCGTCGCTGCCTGGCCCACTTACACCACTCCCGGTGTTCGTCCCCCCAAGCTATTGCGGGCGCTTACGGTATCGCTGACATATGCATAGGTGGTTCCTTACGGTGTATTCTTGGCCCTTATCTTCGTGATTCCTATCGGCATTATCAAGGCTATGACGGGCGTTGAGGTTACGCTGAATGTCTTGGCAGAGTTCATCGGTGGTATGTGGGTGGAAGGTAACGCGCTGGCTATGAATTTCTTCAAGTCATTTGGGTAAGTCACCACATTTCCTTCTTTTGACGCACCTGTCAGAGGTGTTTGTCGTACAATGTCAAGAATTTGACGGATGTGTTGTGAACCTCAAATGGGAGGAGACGCCTTGCGGAATATGGTTGGCTGCTCAGCCACACTGGCTGCCACCCGTCAAGCCACCACATATTCGAATATCAACCATCTCGGTATCAACCATCTCGGGCTCGCCGTTGACCAGCAGCTTCAGCTCAGAGGTGCCATCCGTAGGCACGAAAGATAATACTGACCGTCTGAATAGCTATGTAACGTGCGCGCATGCAATTCATTTTGCAAACGATTTGGTAACCATATACCCTTAACTCTACGATGATTATTGATATTCTAACGACTCGTGTAAAGAAAGTGGCTCATTATTTAAAGATCCCCCCTCGTCAGACTTTTGCCTGTCAGATGGTTGCTACCCTTATTTCAACCTTTGTCTGCACTGGTGTCATGAACTTCCAGATCAACATCGAGAATGTTTGCACCCCCAACGCACCAATGCGTTTCTTCTGCCCTGGGCCCAACACATGTAAGCTCTTGATCCTATGATAGCCACCCTGCGCCATCACTAACATCGCTTCCAGTCTTTACTGCAAGTATCCTTTGGGGAACCATTGGTAAGAAAATATGAATAATTATTATCATTTATATAAATTTACTAACATAGCTACTTAGGACCGATTAAGGTGTTTGGACACGAAGGTCAATACAACTACCTTCTGCTCGGCTTCCCCATTGGCATCCTGTTGCCTGTGGTGTTCTATTTCCTCATAAAGTACATGCCAAAGAACCGGTATCTTCGCCAGTTCCACCCCGTCGCACTCTTCTACGGAGGCGTCAACTGGGTGAGTGCCATATACTCAGCAGACTGTGCAGAGGCTGACATTTCAAAGGCTCCATACTCGTTTTCCTACGCGTTTCCCGCCGTCCCCATCGCCTGGCTGTCTTGGATCTATGTCCGCAACCGCTACCTGGCTTTCTGGTCCAAGTACAACTTTGTGCTTTCCGCCTCCTTCTCCGCCGGAATCGCCATTTCAGGTATCATCATGCTCTTCACAGTGCAATGGCTCGGCGCCGACATCGAATGGTGGGGGAATTCTCAGATCAGCGCCGGTTGCGAAGGCACGGCGTGTACCTTGAAAACCCTTTCTGACGGCGAGCGTTTCTACCCTTGGTGGAACCCCTCCCAGGTCCCAGCTCCTTAAGCTGGCCCATCGCTAACTGTCTCACTGGGCTTTCCTGCTCTTGTTGGGCATGAAGTGATGCGGGATGAACTTGGGGAGGGAGGGAGGGAGGGGGAGGTCCACGTTTTATCCGAATAACCCATACTATTATTTCTTCACGTTCGCTTTCTGCAAGTTTATGGAAAGGTGAATTAGAGGAAGGAAGAGAAACGTCTACGGGCTGAAGGGCGGTGACCACCGGGATGCCGCCGGCTGAGCGTCGGCCGAGCGCCGGGACCGGGCGGGTGGGGACCCACAGACCCAAGGGTAGGTACGTACCCGAACCTACCCAGGTACCTAGGTAGATACGCAGCTTGGGCCCCATAACCAGCTTGGGCAGTCCAAGATATTCAAGTCCAAGATATTCAAGTCCAATGTTGCTCAGCTACTAGTCTTCCCCCTTGGCAAGACCTAGGAGAGAGTGATGCCAGGCGGGCCGGTATATTCCCCAAACTCCCCAGGAGTTGGATCACGCATTGATCACCATATGATATCATGTGTCAGCAGCTCAGGAAGCATTAAATCAATTTTGCAAGATGTCCCATGGTTCTGGTGATTGTTGAATGTGACAGTGTCTCCGGCTGTATATTATTACTGTTGGATATGGGTGATGCGGTCTAGGGAGGTGGGCCACGTGACGTTCACGTGACACACCGCCTCCCCGGCAGTATCCCTCACCCTTACCCATCAGCGGGTGCCAAGATCCTAGCTAACAACAACCACTGTGGGAGCACAAGAGCAACGAAGTGAGGCAAATAGTGATATTGCCGATCTGTAGTGGTGTGTGGTGGTGAGGAGGAAAATCCTCCTCTCGAGGCTATGGGCAGAGGCTGGATGAAGGTGAGGGGCCCAGGAGGTCACGTGACCTCCCAGCACACGGGCCCCCTTATAACACTCCCCCTCAGGCTCTGCTAACTTAATGAATATTGTATATAGGGGCAAAATAACAGCCTGATCTTAAATCCTCTAAATCTAAGGAGTTTTTAAAGTATTTAATAACTTTAGTAATACGCTAGTAATTATCCTATTAGTCTAGTAATAATTAATCTATATACTAAAGTCTATATAATATTAATCTACTAATATATATTCTTTATAATAGCTTATATAGCTTTTTAATCTAACCTATTTACTATACTTAGTAACTATATAAAGTCTTTATATTTAGTTAGTACTAGTAGTTTAGTAAGACTATTAGTAGCTATCTTAGTGCCCTTAATAAGTTAGAAGGTAATATTTTTTTAGGTATAAACCTCTTATATTATCTATTTATATTAGATATTAATACTTTAGGTATATACCTTATTAAAAAGATTTATAATATTAACTATTATATTAGTACTATTAGTAAAAAAGATAGTTAGTATATCTATTAGTTAGCTAAAAAGCTACTTAGTATAGTAGTAAATCTACTTTATAGTAATAGCAGTAGGTATAAGGTTAATAAACTTTACTTCTATAAAGCTTAAAGTAATAAAAGTCTACTTTTTTAACTTCTAGGTAATTAGTAATCTTATAAAGTAGATAACGTAACTACTTATAAAAACCTATAATAGGTAATTATTAGTAAAAAAAGTATTTACTATTATATAAAGGCTAACGTTAGTAGAGGGGTTAAGTCTACTAAATAAGATACTATAATAAGTAGTACTTTTAAGATAGTAAAAAAGATACTTAATAGCAGCTAGATAAGTAGATAATAGGCTAGTATTAGCCTAAGAGAGCTTACTAACTATAAAAGTAATATCTAGGTATATACTAGTAGCTAACTAGTTAAGGTAGCTAGTCTACTTAATATAGGTTTATTAGTTAGGTTTAGAACACTTATTTTTTATCTATATAGTAAGTAACTTATAGTTAGTAGGTAATAAAGTCTTAATAAGTTAAAGATTACTATATCTAAAGTAATAAAGTATACTATTAGTATACTTATATTAGTTAATAAAGATCTTACTAGTAGTAAAGCGCTAGATCTAAAAGCTAAGAAACTAAGAAGCCTTACTAAGGTCCTTTAATAAGTAGACCTTAGTAAGTATGTTATATACTTTTTTAATAGTCTCCTTATTAGTAATAGCTACTATATAATTATTAATATATATTAAGGTATAAGTATTAAGCTCCTTATTAATAAAGAGATAAATTTCTCCCTTAACTAAGTAAAAGCTAATTTTCTTTATTTTACTTTTAATAAGTATAAACTACTATAGTAGTGCCTTATAAAGGCTATAAAGAGCCTTATAAAGTAACTATACTTTATTATTATTAATAGTATAACTAGTAGGTTAATAGATATAGATATAAGTGCTATTAGGTATAAAGGTAGTAAGAAAAGTAGTATTAAAGTTATATATTTTATATACTAGTCTATATAAGGTAATAATAGTAAAAAAGAGGCGTATAGTAGTAGTAGTAGCTATAGTAGTATATACCTCTTATAAAGACTATTTACTTTACTTATAGTTACTATAGACTACTTATTAGGCCTTATATCTAATAATCTTATTTTTTATATTAGTTTTAATATTAAATACCTACTTACTAAAAAAAATCTTTATATTAAAAAAAGGATTAATAAGGGTATAGACCTCTTTATTAGTAAATTATTAGATCTTAGTATTATAAGCCTACTTCTAGTGTTACTAGTGTAAGCCTTCTTTAGCTTTCTTAATAGTAAATAAAATATTATATCTAGGTAGTAGTATATATAATAAGGTAGTAGTAGTAAGTATACTAATAAAGTAATAATAAGTGTTATTATAAACCTAAATATTTATAGTAAGATAAGCCTTTTTATTATACTTTTAAATACTAGTAGTATTATAGTAGTAGCCTAGTAGCTTTATAGTGTTAGTATAGTGTAGTTAGCCCCCTTTAGTAACTAAAGTAGTAGTAGCCTTAGTAATAAGGTCTAGCTAATTTTCTTCTATAATAGGGGCTAAAAAGTTAGCCTCTTATTACTTTATATTATAAAACTTATCTTTAGTAGTATCTATATTATTAGTCTATTAAGTAAGGTGTATAGTAAAAATAGGTTACTATTAATAATCCTCTAGAGGAGAAGTTATATAGTAGCTATTATTAATATACTTACTATCTAACTTACTACTATTAGATTAATTAATCTACTAGTTATAAGACTTTTTAGTAATAAGTTAATATAAGTTAGAGATATAAGCTAAATACTAAGTTATTAGATTAGGCTTATTAAATAGTATATTATAGTTAGTATTTACTAAGATAGTAACTTTATTAATAAGGTAAAAAATAGTCTTTTTAAGCCCTTTATAGAAATAAATATTATAATAGTAAATAACTTACTTCTTACTTAGGATATAAATATAGTAAATATAGCTATATAAAGAGCTATATCTAATAAGGTAACCTTTTATTATATATAGCTTTATTTTTATAAAACATAGGGGGCACTTACTACCTTTTTTATATATATATACTATATAGCTAAAGGTGTAAAGGTGTTTAATATAAGGTAGCTTATAATTAGTAATAAGGTTAAGCTTATAGGTAATAATCTTATAAGGGCTTATCTTACCCTTAGTAGATTAAGGTAAAAGGTTAAGGATTTATACTATAGTGTTAAGGGTATAATCCTAGAGCTCTTCTAGTAGGCTGTTATTAATTAGTAATATATAGGCAGCCTCTATAAGTATATAACTAGCTTACTTAATTAATCTATTTATTAATAAAGTATATATAATTATAAGGTTAAGCTTTATACTTATAAAGTAAGGATTATAAAGCACTTTCTTTAGCTTAGGTATGTTATTAAAAACCTAGCTCTTAATAGTAAGGCTAGTTATATTAGTAAAAGTAGTATTAAAATTCTTAATAGTATTAAGTATAACCTTATAGTAATAAGGTTATAAGAGTTAAAGCTAATAATAGCTACTATAATAGTTAAGAAAATAAAGGGTGTATCTTATACTAGTTTTTAATAGTAGTTTAACCTTAATAAGGTTAAAATAAATCTCTTTACTTACTAAGGTAAGAGGTAGTAAAGTGTTATAGCTAATAAGCTTTATAGATTTAGCTAAGTAGTAGGCTTTATAGTAAAAGGTATTAATCTTAGCCTAGGTAAATTATATACCTACTTAATAGTAGGCCTTAATAACTTATAATAAATAGGTATAAATAAGTTAATAGTGTATTATCTTAAGGGTTAGTTAGTACTTACCTCTAACTACTAATAAAGTAAAGGTAGTTACTATAGGTATAGTTAGCCTATTTATAACATAAAGTATATAAATATTAGAAATCTATTTAATAGCAGCTAATTAGGCCTTAGATTTAGTATTAATAATACTAGTAGTTATATAGTTATACTTAATACCTACCTTATAAAGTTTACTAAGGCTAAGAAGGTTAGCTAGGCTATAAGGGCTATACTTAATATCTTTAATAGTCTAGTTAATTATTTAAAATAGATTAGCTAGATCTTAAGTTTAAAAAAAGATAGTACTAGATCTCTCTAGAAATACTTACTTTCTATTTATAGTAGTAAAAAGAAAAAGGTTATTATAAATAGTATATAATATAAAGAGTTAAAGTAAGTTAAAAATAAGGCTTAAGTAGCCTAAATTTAGTATAATATTAGATAAGGTAATAGCTTTATTACTTATAGTAGTAAAGATAGCCTTACTTAGTTATATTATAAGGCTAGTAATTAAGGAGCTGCCTAGCGCGCCTAAGGCACCTTTTATAAAAACTAATATAAAAGAATTAGGTATAGTAAAGGCAGTAGCCTTTTTATAATCCTTATTATAAATATACTTAGCTATATAAGTAAGTAAATTCTTATAAAACATATAGTTAGTAAGAATAAGCTCTAGATAAGTAGTCTAACACTTTATAGTAATATAACCTTTCTTATAATAAAGGTAAATATTATAGCCTAACTTCTTAGTAAGAGTAGTGCCTTAGCTATTAGTGCTAGAGGTAGTAGTAATTATAGCCTTATAGTAAGTAATAAGGCTTATCTTTTACTCCTTATCTTAGGTAAGTATATAAATAGTCTTAATAACTATAGCCTACTTAGGCTTCTTATTATTATTAGTATAGTGCTTATATATATTAAGTAAATACGTTTTAAAATAATTAAGTAAGAGGATAGCCTAATAGTAGTTAAAGTTTTTACTATAAAGACTAGTAATATAGGTATATAGATACTATATACGTTTAAGGGTATTATAAAAAGTCTTATAATCTTAAGCACTACCCTTAGAGAATTTATTAATAAGGGCTCTAACTACGTCTTTAGATACCTTAGGAATATATTTCTTAAGTGCTTTTATTAAGGTATAAAGATTACTGTAAGGGGTTAGCCTAGTTACCCTTTATAAGGCTATGTGTGGTGTATTTTAGGCACTTAGTGCCTAAACTAATTAATCTTTTAGTAATGCTAGAATAGTCTATTAACAGGCGTAGCACACTACCTATACCTTTATAATTACTATTATCTTATTATCTTATATTAAGAAGCTTATTAATTAATATATTATATAATAAAATAAAAAGGTTATATATAATATTATAGTTAGCTTCTTATAAAATAAAAGCTATAATATTTTTAGCTAGTTAAAAGATATTATAGTTAATATACTTCTTAACTTTATTAGTATAAAAGGTAATACTAATAAGTATAATCTATAAGGACTAGTTTAACTCTTTTTTAAGCTAAGGGATAGTTAATAAGACTATTTAGTAATTACTACTATTAGCTATAATAATAGTAATATAAGTAAGTTACTTTAGACTATAGTTAGCCTAACTATATATTAATCTTTATATATTTCTTTTACTATAGTAAAAAGTATATCTAAAACGTTATATAATTTACTACTATTTAATAGACGCCTAAAGTAATAGATTAAGGTAGTTAATAAGTAAAAGTATCCTTATAGTAATTAGTAAAAAATTCTTAACTTAGGCTATAGTAAAAACAGTAAGTAAAGTTAAGTAACTACTATAATAATTAGTAAATAATTATAAATTAATAAAGATAAGTAGAGGTAACTAATTAATTTATAAGAAAAATTAATATAGGCCTAGGCTTTATAACCTATAGGAGCACAAGAGTAATAAAGTAAGGCAAATAGTAATATTACTAATCTGTAGTGGTGTGTAGTGGTAAGGAGGAAAATCCTCCTCTTGAGGCTATGGGCAGAGGCTGGATGAAGGTGAGGGGCCCAGGAGGTCACGTGACCTCCTAGCACACGGGCCCCCTCATAACAACCACAACGAATATCACGATCTTATTGATGCCATCAATTGCATTACGGGATATCCCCTCTAGTGAATACCGACAATTACATTGGATCTCGGCCTGAACGAAGTGATACTGAACTTTCAGTAAAGGCTGAAATTGCAATGCCCAGGAAGGTTGAGTCCCACCGCCGGACAAGCAAACCGCAACCGGAGCCGGGCGCGAAATCTGCTTGCTCTTACCCCCCTTCCAAGCTATTCCTGATCTCCTGTTTCCCTATTGACGCAATGAATTCAGAAATAACACTTTTACCTTATCATCCTTTGGCGATTGTTGCGACGATGTCCAGGATCTTTCGCTGTGCCTCAACCTCAACTCTCGTCTTCTTGAGCCCGACAGCTTTGATAAGCTTGTCTCTTCAGCTTTTCTTCTAGCGCCTGTCGGTCGATTCTATTACTATTTCTCCAGACCTGGAAATGAATAGGGCAGTTGAACATCCCTGCTCTTCTCTTCTGTGACGATACATACAGCTTCTATGCGCGGCTAGCCCTGAACTGTTGTTTTATAGCACGTGATTTCCGCTAGCTATTGAACTTGCGTTGCGGAACAACATAGACGCCTCAAGGGCGCAATCTAGTAATACCTCGGGTCCGCCGTGCCGCCATTCAGACCAACTGTGGACTGACTACCCTTAGGTGCGGTTATGCACGGGAATGTTGGTTTCCTATGATGTTTATGACGGCTCTCGGCAGACAGTCTTGCCAGGATAGCGTTCCTCTTATGGTGGCTGAAATCGACAAAGTGTCCCCGGTCTGCATGTGGGTTCCGGGCTTCAAGGGCCTCTTGCCGTGGACGTAAGCAGACTCCTGCTTGCTCTGAAACGGATCGGTTTTGGTGTCATAAAGTAGAAAGGTAGTGCAAACGTATTATCAATATCAATATCTAAGTGTGTGATCGACAACAACTGAGTAGTGTCATTCGAAGGGGAGGGGGGCGCAAATGCTCTTTTACATGTCTTGCTGTACAACGTGGTGTGTCTGGGATTGAGAAGCCGAAACATTTCTATACGACCTGTTCAACGATTGGTCCACTTCCGTCATCGAAAATTTCCTTCCACCGTTCCTCGTGCCCCTCTGACTTGCATAGATTCTCCCATAAAGCCTCTGGTAGGCCTTCGTCTTTCAGATCTTCTTTCTTGAAGATGCGAGGGTTTCTTTTCGTAGTGTCCGCCTCCGGTGCTCTGAAGACGAGGTCCTCAATGCCATTTCGCTCTGGGATCCTGAAAAGCGGCTCGCCGGACTTCCTTGGTTGCAGTTGCAAGTCCATCAGCTGTCGAAGATATGGAAAGAACCAGTTGTTCTTCCACCAGTCTCGTAGTCTTTCCTGCTTCAGGCCATTGCGATGGGCATTGTGGTGGACCATCACCGGGACGAAGGTACTCCAAAGGTCTGTGTACAACGGAAGTTCATTCCAGCCCATGCGGGGGTCGATACCAGATTCCTCAACAGGACTGCGCATTCCGTTCATGTCCTCAGGAATGCCATAAACTCTTGGTGGTTCAACACCTCTCTCTGCTGAAGCATCTTGAAGTACAGAGGTGTTACCTAGCACGACGTACAAACCATCGTCTTCCTCAAAGACAGTGGGCGTGAATAGGTTTTGAACGTAATCCAAGCCAACGCCAAAATCAAATTGACTTGCTTCTCTGGTAGCATCCTCTGGATGCTCGGTCTGGTTCTTGATCCACTCGGCTTGATTTCCACGATTGGAAGCCCGCCAAATCTCTTGTTCGCCGAATGTTTAGGCAAAAATTCCTTGATCACTGAAGATGTTGATCCCAGAATCACGCTTTTCGACAACTTTCTTTTGAGCGTGATGAAGCATACGTTGCATCTCGCTGACGGGACCCACGATGCTACCGCTGTTCAGATAACGTGGGCGGAGGTCGTGCATTTGTTTTGGGTCCTTGTCCGTATTTGGACCATAGAGATCTACTTTGGCACTGTACTCGGGGAGTGCGTCACAGTGAGTATCAAAACCGAGATCGGCACCAGGCCAACATTTTTTCTGAGCGGATATGATGATAGATTGCTTGGGCGTACGGCCAACTTCACCCATCTCCGAAGAGACCTGAGATCGTGACACATCCCACTCCTTATAGATGCGCTCATTTGCAGCGTTGTTTTGCGCCAAATACCGCCGTATCAAGATGGAGGGTGGAAGCTGAAACCATATATCGTAGGCGTCGACAATGATCACCAGATCGTCGGGTCCAAGGCGCTCGTCTTCAGGGGAGTCGTCTGAGGTGATACTGTCGAGGAAGTCGAGGGCGCCATCAATCTTGCCGAGATGAGAACCGCCAAACCATCCGGGGCTTTTATTGAAGTCGCGACCCCAATTAACGATCACGGGACTTGGGTGCCCAGACACGATGGCCGACATCAGCATCTTGCAGAGGTCAGGTGACGGACTATCTGCTGGAACAACGATTCGGAAGCGTCGGCTGCCGCCCTTCTCCACTGTTGGAAGATGTGCCTTCCCGTGTCCTATATGGGATATTATGTCTGTCTGGTTCTATTTGCGTCAGGCGCATGCCACACTTCGGAGAAGACGTTACTTACGGACACGAAAAGTAGGCCTGGAAAGAGTAATAACGGAGCAACAATGACAAGCATAGTCTTAGGCGAGATAATGCGAAATCTTCTTGAAAAGCGAGTTCTCGGGCGTGGAGACTGGGACTTCAAGGCTTCGGCGTCATCCAACTTGCTGTAGGCCGGCGAGCGCGAGGTATGATTCCGTTTAAAGATGGCAGTCGCCAGTTCTTTGATGAGTGCCATTTTTGGCAAAAAGAGAGGATGTGATAAGGATTTTCGGATCCGTCATGCACCGAGCATGACAGCTGGACTTAGGGAGACACGAAAAGACAGCAAATGGGCCTCAGGTTTCCTAGGTGTCTGGGGCGAGAGAGATGGGACCAGCCTCGATTTATCTGTCAAGGGCCTGTAGATATTGTTTCCGCTAGGTTTGAGTATTACCTATTTCTTATGCCACATAGAAACCTCTGGCCGCACGGTTGGCAGCAGGTTTGCATCTCATAAAGCTGGTCGACGCGCCAGCTGATGCATCGTTTGCCCTGCATCTGAATGTAATAAGGCAAAAGTAGCCAAAGTGGATATAGCAAACAGTCTGGAGGAGTTTGGTCATCTGAATCGCATCGGTAAGTGGTCAGCCTGGCGCTGCTATAGGTATAAAGACAAGTTCCAACCGCTAAATCTGTTTCAATACTGGATGTTTCTACCGAAAAAGTGGCCCGAATGTCGACATGGCTTATTATGACAGTGTGGAAAGCTGGGGGATGCTACATCCGGCATTGTGCTTCACAACTTCACCCTCGGGATCCCAATCCAAACAGCATCGCAAGTGACCAAATCCACGCCATTCGAATCTTTGATTGTCGCTCTGAGAAGCATTCTCTTACCGCGAATCTCTTTGATTTGCCCAACCCCAAGCACGACTCCTGGCGTTGTAATCGGCTTGAGGTATTTGATGTCCATCGACGAGGTCACCGTATTCATCTTAAAGATCGGGTCATCTCTTTCCGTTTCCATGTTTCTTTGAATCAGAACTCCCAGTACCTCGTCGATGAGCGTGGCAACTATGCCTCCGTGGGCAATGCCAGGGTAGCCGTCGACTCCTCGCGAGAGCGCAAACAGTATTGATAGCTCAGTGATGACGGATTTTCCCGGGCTTTCAGGATGGAAGCTGACACATGCCGGTATACCCTCCGCGTGGTTGAGCGTCTCGCCGAAGAATCTGTCGTGCGGGTTCGTGTTCTTCGGGTCGCGCGATTGCGGGGTGAAGATTGTGACCCCGGGCTGTGTGAGGATAGTGCGGCACCATGGCAACACCTCGAGTTCGGCCACCGTTTGCGTCAAGTGGCCAACGCCTGAAGTTTCGTTCGATTTAGTAGGCATTGCTGGGCGTTAATTTACGCGCCCAGTCTGGTGGGCGATTGCGAGTGCTATTAATGATGAGCGGATGGCTGCAGGAAAGGATTGCCACGTCGTGCAAGCGAATTAAACCTCGGCACATACACGCGTCAGTCATTGGCCGTTTCACGTGAGAGCAGGACCCCCTGGGCCATCCGTCTGCATCCCATTTCCTAGCGTTCGTTCTGCCATGTAGCAATATGCAAGTTCATGATACCTCAAAAAGTGTGTCATACGTTTATATAGATATTAAACTCAACAGCTGCAAGCGGGGGTTCCAAGGCTATCATACCGATTGCCCTTTGCTCGCTGTATTAATGACAACTTTATTCTGACAGGAGATACTCGTCAAACCCATCCATTTGTGTTTGCCTTCCGTTTTCTAACTGCCTACCTTGCCCAAGGAATGTACGACCAGAGCTATTCTATAACGTGCTTTGATCTCAGGCTACATACAGGCTACAGTACTGGGCGAAACCTTTTGCGCCGCTGGCTATCTGCGCAAAAGGTTTCTGTTGGAATACGGATCCAGCAAACAGCTGTAACTTCACCTTTTCCCTTCTTCACTCATCAATCCAACAAAAGCACTATTTCCATCATGACGTTGTGACAATATAACCCATAGATCGATCCGACCTGTAATACCAACACTAACTAGTGGTTATTACAAATTAGTAAGGTTATTGACAGAAAAGACAGCTTCTGGCTCACTACACCCTATTGCTATGCTAACAAGAAAATCGTCAGTCCCGAGTCCACTTTCGACTCCAACTTCTTGAGGGCGTCCATCACGCTGCTGCCGCTATCCTCGCGGACTGAGAATCATTCTACATTTGTGCTGTTGACAAGAGACCTCCGCTTGGCGCAGTAATTCAACCTTCAACCTCTTGCCTCTGCCGAGCAGAGCCTGCCGCTCAATCAACACCAACCTCTTCTTCAATTCTTCAAGGGCTACCAGACAGGCCAAATTTTCACTCCCTCATACTTAGACCTCTCGCATCAACAGCTCCAGCCAGCCCCCATCAACGGCCCCTATCAACAGCCAACACATAGGGGATATGGGAACGTCAGATTAAACCCTTGCCGGGCAAACCGCAGAGTGCATAGTAGATCAGATTCCGGGGGCGTCTGTGCATCCGGTGAAGCTCAGATCTTCTCAAATTTATACACTAGGTAGTTCTGTTTCTTCTCTTGAGAGCTCCACTTGCATGGCATCGAAACATCATCCTTGCGGCTACGATATGTGCCCAGCCAGATGTTGATTATGAACACAAGGAGGGCCTTGCTAGATAGCACTGTGGCCCACTTGGCATTTCAATGTCATTCTCACCTGCTTGTCCATACCTACTGTACAAGGGGTGCTTGTTACCCCGCAACCCCCCTTTTTCTGTTTTTCTTCGCTTCCGCCACTACGATTTTTAGTGCGGTAGAGAAACTTCATCGCAATTTCCTGGCATTCAAAATCCGATTTCCACATGGATCACTTGGCGGGGTTGGACAATAGTTTACATGCGCTAACGGCGCTTCGTATTACGGTCGCTTAAACCGTCGCTGAAATCAACGCTCGCTAATCTAAAGCCTTCTATGGCGTGGCCTGTAACTACCAAGCCATACTCATTACTTCACAATACACAATCAAGCCGAGTCGTCAGACGTCTTCTCAACGCACTCGGCCTTCTGGCCCGGCTTGTCGCTGTCGAACTCCTGGGGCATGGCGATGGGCCGGTTCTTTGCGAACTTGACCGTCGCGAACACGGAAGGAGAGTCCCTGAAAAGAAGCTCGATCTCTTCCAGGTTGCGACCCATGGTCTCGGGGAAGAGGAAGTAGACGCTGACAGGGATGCAGGCCGCGATGACGGCGTAGACGATGTAGTATCTCCAGCCAATGGTGTTGAAGGCAACAGGGGTGACCATGACAACAATGAAGTTCCTGAAATGCAAGTTAGTTGATGGTGGTTACAGACGAGACGATCCGTCAATGCGACTTACCAGAGCCAATGGTTGGCGGTAGAAATGGACGACATGGCCATACGGAGACGGAGGGGTGCAATCTCAGTGCAGTAGAGGAAGTTGGCACCCAAGAAGCCGATAGGGACGAAGGTGTTGTACAGGTAGATGAAGCAGCCGGCAGCGATCTGGGCAGCCAGGTTATCCTTGGGGAAGGATGTCGTGATGGCCAAGCAGGTCATGCAGAGAGACATGCCAATGCCACTGAAGATGAAGACGGCACGACGGCCAAATCGGTCGATGGCGAAGAAGGCCAAGAAGGACGAGATGAACTTCCAGGTAAGGGCACCACCGGCCAGAGCCTTGGACGCTTCAGGCTTCATGCCGAGGTTCTGCTGGAACAAGATGGGGGCGTAGACAGAAACGAGGTTGCTTCCAGACATCTGCTGATAGAACTGGAGCAGGATGCAGAGTCCAAAGCGGTAGGCGAGCTTGTCATTGCCCATCTTGAGAACGTCGCTGAGCTTGGCAGCCTTCTGGCTGGTATCCTCAAGGGAGTGCTCAATGCCGGCAACTTCGGCCATGACCTCCATGGAATCCTCAGGCAGGCCCCTGAAGGCGGAAATGATGGCGCGGGCTTGCTCGGTACGTCCCTTCATGACGAGCCAGCGAGGCGATTCGGGAAGAAGGTAGATGCTGCTCATCAAGACAAGGGAGAAGACGATGGCGATGGCGATGGGAGGGCGCCATGTGACAGGGCCGGTCTTGAATTCCCAGAAGCCCAAGTTGATCCAGCTCTCCAAGACGTAACCGACACAGGTAAAGAGACCAGTAAGAACGACCTGGCGACCACGGTTGGTAGCCCCGGACGTCTCACTCTGCCAAACAGGCACAATGGAGCTGAGCTGTCCAACACCGAAGCCAACGATGACACGGCCAACGATGAGCTGTGCCAGGTGGAAGGAAGCACACTCGAGGATCTCGCCGATGAGGGTGCAGACGCCGGCGAAGAAGATGACATTGCGGCGACCGTAGGCGTTGCCGGCCCAGGAGCAGAAGAGGGAGCCAAGGAGGGCGCCGATGGTGAAGGTAGCGACGACGAAGCCCTGCAGCGTCGAGTTGACTTTCTTGGTCTCGCCGGTGGTGTTGATGGTGTCGATTTCTGGGAAGGTCCTGACCCAGTCCTCGGTAGTGATCAGACCACCGAGACCAGCCTGGTTGTATCCGAAGAGGATGAAGGCCGGGCACACAACGAGGGCGAGCTGAAGGACACTCAGGGCATTGCCCGTGAGTCCAAAGTAGAGTTTGGAGCCCATGGTCGAAGACGTGGTGTGTTCTTCGCGTGCACTCAGGTTGCCTGAAGTCTTTGGATGGAAAAAGAAGTTCAGCCTAGGTGCGTAAGGTGAGGAAGAACAGACAGCCGGCGAGGATGGAGTGGGTGGGAAGAAGAAGCGAAGGCCAGAGGGGGAGGCGAGGTCATGTCTTTTTTATGAGAATCCGCCGACCGCCGGCCCGGCGGCGGTGTTCATGTTCCTAGGTACTATAACCCTTGTGGGGAGAGATGAGATGTGTGCGGAGACCCCGCGGGATTCTGGCCGCAAGGGTAAACTAGATTCATAATAGAAAACCGCTCAGCTCCCCGTTTCTCTTGTGTGGAGAAGCAAAAGACGGAGAAGGAGAAGAGCGACCTCGAGGGTGGCCCGACAGACCCCGTGGGCGGGCCTGTGTCATGGATGCCGAAGGCGCTCCGTTGTGCGTCACGGGGTTAGTTAGTCGGCCAGGGCTCACGCCGGAAGTCGACCGAGTCCCGCTGCACCTATCCTGTTTTCCCTGGTGGACGGCGATAACTTCATCAGGCCTACCCCGTGGAGCGCTCAGACGGTATCATGGTCCACGATGCCACCCCATTCGTCGGAAGACCTCAGGGCGACCCTCCCGGGTCCCGCCCTGCCATTATCCAATAAACCCCTCTTGTTATCGGACAGAGTTGCGTTTGCAGGGCAATGGATGGATGGCGGGGCGGGAGGACCCAGCAAAGTTGGTCGTACGAGGCTGGAATCTATCGAGAAACGGCCCGGATGCAACGGATAGTTCGGCGAGTATAAAGAGCCATCCAAGGTTTCCACTGGCACGCATGCATATCATATTGCCGATGAAGTCGTTGAGCAACCGAGGGCGGTCAGTCACGTATATGCACGGAATCGGTTGACGCCATGCAATGCGGCGAAAAATAAGCACAAGAGCCAAGACGGCAGCCAAGGCACCAAATCAAGCCAAGAGTCGAATGGGTCATTGGCCACCAGCGGTGGGCCGAGCAAGCAAGCAAACAAACCCCCCACGTCATGAAGGAATTTCTGGCTGACTCGCGCCGATAACGGTTCAACCACGGGAATGGATGATGAGGTGGTTGTGACTCGGTCCAAGACGCTGGGTGGCTGGACATTCCATACGCCCAGAAACGTTCACACTCGTCTTCACATTGCTTTCTTTCAAAAATAGCATTGCGCTGGGTATTCAGGAGCATTCAAGTCACAGCGCGGACCCCGTGTTCTTGAGCTCTCCGGCCAACCCTGGTGTACTTCGCGACGAACGCCAAGAGCTCATCGACTTGGATCCCACCTTTCGCGACTACTTTGCCCTCCCTTGGCGGTGGGTGACCTTTAGTTCCGGCACCTTTGATTGGATGTTCCCCGAGCTTCGGTGATCCATCCGCGCCCTCGGAAGTTTTCCGAGTCCCTTTGTGTGCATGTTATGAAGCAGAACCCTCCGTCCGCGTTCAACACAAACTGAGTGCACAAAAAAAAAGAAGAAACATGAGACGTTGAAGGATTTTGCCCAAACCGATGTGACTTTGAACGATGTGTCAATTCTCTGTCATGGTTCCACCACGTCCGACCACGGCGGCTCTGGAGTAGTAGCCGCAAAAAAAAAGAGAGAAAAAAAGAGAGAAAAAAAAAAAAATCTTGGAGAACTCGCGACGTGCCCAAAAAGTCTCCTTCTCCCAACTTCATCGAGGTCATGGTCTTGACAGAAACCGGCTCCAGCCTTTCCCCAGACGCCGTTTTACACTTGACGGCGGTCACAAATCCGAAATGCCCCAGAACGCGGGGGATGAACCTGGTCTGAGATGCTCGTCAGCTCAAAACCACATTTTCGAACGGCGGCACTGGATCGCCCGGTCTTCTAGCTTCCGTGTAGTTTTCGTGATGCCCACTTGTCGACAACCAACAACACGGACACGACGGCCAGGAAGAAAGGAACCCCCGCGGGGTAATCGCTCTCCCACAATGCAAGCTGGTGTTCCACGACCACAGCGCTGGTGAACGAGTCCCCATAGCTCCGGAATCCCTGAAGATGTTTTGTATAACTGCCTATTAACCGGGTCCAAACCAAATTATTCAGAAGTCTAATAGATGCCCGATGCCACTCCGCGTCGCCATGCACGTACCCCCAACGCGGAGGCGAACACCCGCTGCACCGCCATTGTCTGAAATGTGGTCCCCATACGGAGTAATTGTTTCTGTTTCGTTCCTCACGTTAGCGGCCAACCGAAGGCTGGTGGCCGCCGTGATGAGGCAGAGGTCAAAGCAACGACGTTGGATTTCGGGGCTTCACCTGTGATGGGAAGCGGGTAGTAATACCAGAACACCTCGATCGTACTAGCAATGACATGGATGGCGAGAGGAACATACGGGACCTTCGTATACTGGGCGTGTTTCGGGGTGGTGACCTTGCTCCAGCTCGGTACCAGGTATAACGCAGTTAGATGCACGAGGTCCAAAGTATCTCCAACAAGACGTGATGCGTTGCGTAGAGCAGCTGTACAGTCTCCAGCTGTCATTGATGCTTGCCCAGTTCATGGTGGGTCGAGTCTAAGATCCCTGCAGGTTTACTGCCGTGTAGTTGGACGAAGCGAAGGTGACGAAAGAAACTCGGGATAGTTACCCGGGGCGTCGGACATGGGGTTCCGAAGCCGCAGGGTCCCGGCAATGAACTGGAGAAGCCGGGGCAGGGAAACTCATCTAGGTGCTGCATTGGTGCCGGCTATATAGTCTTGTCTTCTCGTCGTTGCTGGGTGAGTAATGGAGTTTATGCTCGGACAGGAAATAGCCAACGTTGTCAGATGAAGCTGCGTCTTATCCTGACCACTGGACGTGCGCACCCGGAATACGGCTTATCCCAAGTTACCATGCAGATCCGACGCCATCTCATCTTGGCGCTTGGCATCCATCGGGCCAACCAACCCAAGATGCTGCACAGGTCATCGCGGACTGGAACCACGGACCGCTTGGGGCCGTAAGTTACCGTCTTCATAGCGCTTCAGTGATAAGACACTGTTAGGAGCAAGTTCATATACTCTTGATGAGTCGCATGTTCTTACACATATCCGCCAAGACCCAAGATTGGTTCAAACCGACCCGGACTTGGCATTCCGAATCACCTTAGCGCCTGTGTAACAACCACATGTGACGAATTGGGAAGAGTGCTCTGCTCTGATTGGAGGGTGAGGTTATTTTGGAACGATATCCGTACTTACCGGCAACATAGGCTTACATGTAGTGAGAACTAGCAAACGGCTGATCAACAACAGCCGGCGACGCCAAACCGATTAAGTGCACGACAATGTATTAGCTACTTAAAGATGTAACGCTAGCACGCTCGCTTTAGTTCTTTTGGAAAATAAGATGGAATCATGATGCCAACCCCCCTCCCCTCCCCCATTAATTCACTGCATTTTACAGCCAGTCCTCCACAAGCTGCGAGTATTCCCGCGTTATCTGTCATTGACCAAAGCTCACCCGCATTCCGTTCACCAGGCCGCCTTGGCGAACATGCCAGTAGGCCATCTACGCACGGCGAACTTCCTAGCTTCGTCGATGAGAACAATGCCGAGGCCAAAGCTCATGGGCAGGAACCAGTACTCGACCGGGACCGGGGATGTGCCAAGCGTGGACTGAAACTCGGGGACGTAGAGCCAGAAAATGGCCATGAGAAGGGCGAACACGACGGCCGGGAACAAGTACAAGTTCTGCGTCTGCTTGTTGCCGATGGGCGGGTGCTGGAAGAGAGACAAGCGACGGGTGCGGATGGCCAAGAGGTTGAACCACTGCATGACGACGAGGTTGACAAAGTAGATGGAGCTCGCGATGTTGAGCTGCTGCTGGTAAAAGTTGGGGTCAATGGAGGGGGGGAGGTTGCCGAAGGAGAACCAGATGTCGCTGAACTTGATGCCTTGGCGCTCGAGGTACCAGTACGACATGGCAAACGAGGATATAGTCTCGAGCATGCCGACGAGGCCGTAGGATTGGACGACGAGCTGCCAGTCGACGAGACGGTCCTTGCCGGGGACGCGAGGCTTGCGGAGAAGCACATCCGCCTCCGGGGCCTCGTAGGCCATCGCGATGGCGGCAGCCGCGTCCGTGAAGAGACAAATGATGATCATGAGGAAGCTGCTCAGGATCTGGGGGATGCCAAACAAGACATTGGTCATGACGGGCCAGAACTCGGAGAAGCTTCCGGCGGGGAGGAGGTAAGCGACAGTCTTCTTCAGGTTGTCGAACATCATGCGTCCGTAGCGCAGCGCCTCGACGACACTGGAGAAGGAGTCGAGGAGGACCATGTCCGCGGCCTCGATGGCGATGTCGCTCCCCGAGCCCAGAGCGATGCCGACGTCCGCGGCGCGAAGGGAGGGGGCATCGTTGACGCCGTCGCCCGTCATCCCCACGATCTGGTGACGGGCCTGCAGCTCGCGGACGATGCGGAGCTTCTGCTCGGGGGTCGTGCGCGCGAAGACGATCTCCTGGTATTGCGCCAGCTGGTCCCATTGTTCCTCGTTCAGGGTGATCAACTCGGGGCCGGAGAGTACGATGGCTTGGCGCGGGGATGACTGGACGTCGTCGATGACTTGCTTCACTGACGGTTCGACAGGGGTCATGCGTTGGAGAGCCGTGACATCGTCGATCTGGGAACGAGGGACGCTAATGATGTTGCACTCGGCTGCGATGGCAGAGGCGGTCAGGGCGAAATCGCCGGTTACCTACGTTCCGTCAGTATTTTGTTGAAGGCTTCCATGTCCATTGCAAGAGAATCAGCTCACCATGAAGATGCGGATGCCCGCGCCACGAAGGGTGTTCATGACTTCGGGGATCTCGGGGCGGGGCGGGTCGACGATGCCAACAAGACCGACGAGAGTGAGGCCGGACTTGGCTTGATTGTTGACTTCCATCTCGTAAGAGCTCTCCGTCGGGCTTCCCTTGAGGGCAGATTTCGAGATGGCCTTGCGAGCGAGCAACAGCACGCGCCGCCCCTGAGCAGACCACTCGTCCTTGATCCGCTCGATGGAAGCACGAGTCGAAGGGTCCAAGGCGGTAGTATATCCAGAAGGATTGACGTAGTTGCTGAGTCTGGGCATGAGAACATCAGGGGCACCCTTGATGGTTAACAGACTGCAGCGCGACGTTAGTTTTTTTTGCCCTTTCCCAGAAACGACACGTTTGGGAAATGCACTTACACGTCGCCTGGCTGGAAGACCGAGGCAGTGTCGGAAGGTAGGGCCAATGACAAGCCGTCGGGGTGGGACATGCCGAGCACGCGAATCATGTATTTGTTTTTGCTGTTGAATGCGAGCTCGTATTTTGTCTGCCAGCATCGGCGAAGCTCGTTGACCTGACCCAGGCTTTCTGAGAAACGCAGAATGGCCTGGTCCGTAGCGTCACCGTGGATCACACGCTCGTGGAGAGGCAGGCGGATGGTGGCGGCGTCAAACTGGCCGGCATTGCAGAGGCCTGCAATAGCCCGGAGCTGCTCCAGAGAGTTGTTGTTCGGAGTGTTGTTTCTGCTGAGTGTGAGTTCATCCCGGGCACCATCGGCCGTCATCGTCTTGGTTCCGATGGCACATTCCGTGACAACCATTTTGTTCTTTGTACCTGTCAGTATAGACTCTTGGCACCAGTATGTAACGGGCACTTGTATTTGCTTACTTGAGTCAAGGTACCGGTTTTGTCGGAGCAAATGATGGATACAGATCCGAGAGTCTCCACGGTCTTGAGGGACTTGCACAAGATCTTGTTTTTGCGCATCATGTTCGCGCTGATGGTCATGCTGGCGGTCAAGGCCACAGGCAGACCCTCGGGGATGAATGCCACGGCAACAGACACGCAGGATATGATGAGGTTGGGGACATTGATCCAGTTTGGGTACTTTTGCTTTAGCCAGGCGCCCCTATTCATCAGATGCCGTTAGCCAATGTCCTTGTCCAAAACAGCATCATGAACGTACCAGACGATCAGAACCACAACGATCATCAGGAACATGATGGAGCAGATGATGAGCACAAAATGCAAGACCTCGCGTTCGAGTGTGGTCAAGCCCTTCTTCGGCTCGTTGGTCAGCTTGGCGATGCGGCCGAAAATGGTATTGTCGCCCGTGGCCACCACCAGCCCCGTGCAAGTGCCAGAAACGCAGTGAGTGCCCTGAAGGCCGATGCATCGGGTCTCGAGGTAGTTGTTGTCAGTCGAGTCGACCGAAGCGGGCAGAGGAACCGATTCTCCTGATGGTTTGTACTTTTGTCAGTCGCGTTCACAATGATCACTGACAGAACAACCGCACAAGGTTTGCGACATACGGGTTGAAGAAAGAAGCAGCACAGTGAAAAGGGGATGGATATTGGAGGTACTTACCCGTCAAGATGGATCTGTCGAATTTGGCGTCTGAAGAGACCTTGAGGAAGCGCACATCAGCCGGCAACTTGTTTCCAGACTTGACGATGAGGATATCCCCGGGTACGATCTGATCAGCCGGCAGCTCGGCCTGTTGTCCATCTCGAATCACCATGCAGTTCTCAGGCAGCATAGTCTTGATCGAGTTCATGACCCGCGAGGAGGACCAGTCCTGCCACATGTTGAAGGCGGCCTGGATAAAGAAGACGGCCAACAGCACAATGGCCAGCGCCAGGTTGGCCACGGCGGGCGGGCTGCCCAGGGGCTTCCACGCGATGAAGACGAGGATGGAGGCCACCAGCAGAATAGTACCGAAGCCCTTGAAGAAGTATCCGAGTATACGCTTCGTGTGATTTGTCGGTGCGGGCGAGGGCGCGTTCCTGCCGTAGTGTGCCATGCGGCGCTGGACCTGGTCCGAGGAGAGGCCATCGGCGAGGGAGGATGACTGGCGCCTGAGGATCTCGTTGACGGCAAGGGTGTGCCATTCCAGTTCCGATAGCTCTGGAGGCCACGAAAGGCGGAGATGTCAGTTTGCGACTCGCTGTCAACGCGGTTGTTGCGGCCGAGGCCTTGGGTCTTTTACGAACCCGTTGCGACATTCTTGGCCTTCTTGACGGCTTCTGTCTTTGACTTGTACTCTTCTATCTCGAAGGACCTTTCCGACAAGAACGTTAGCACTGAGGAACAGGCGAGGTCGTTCAGTCGGACCAAGGAGGGCCGCTCTTACACCGTACGGTACTGGATGGGTAGCTCGGCAGTCGCATCGATGGAATTGCGTCTCGACCTGACCGAGTGAATTGACATGGACGTGTTCGAGCGGGTAAGTTGCAGACCTGGGACGGTGCTGGATCGATGGGCTCTCCTGCCGGCCTCCTCGTCGGCGTCCCAGCGGATGCGCTCACCAGCCGCCTGGGAATGCGACTTTTCAGGCTCGTCCATGGCTGATCTTTCTCGGGGAGTTTGCAGCGCAAATTTCCGCACTAGCTGTATAGAGAGAGGTAGGAGGGCGCGTCAGACCAAGCGAAAGTCCAGTGTGAGCTTAAGTTACGGTAGGAGGCCTCACGAGAAGTAAAGGGAAGCAGGGGGAGGCAAGAGAAGGGAGTGAGAAAAGAGGGAGTCCAAGTGTCTGTCAACCATGACCTGCAACGCATTCAGGGTCTTATATATATAGAGTAGGCCAAAGGGCCACGAGACGCGAGATGGAACCTGGATCCGGGATGGCCAAAACGGGTGAACCGTCTTAACATGATAACCATCACGGGTCTTGGCGCATTCCTCTCTACAACTGTTTAAGAGCGACATAGACACACGCGCGTGGATAAGACACAGACCCGGACTCAGAATGCACACGCCCAGCCGTACGGTAACCTTTATGACGGAAATTACGGCCTCCGCATAATTCAATCACATGGCAGACAAGGGCTGACTGTCGACGCTTTGCTTGACTTGGGGATGGTGCCAGATGAGAGGAACCGAATGAACCTGTTTTCTTCCCTCCTCCTCTGGGGGAGGGGTGTGTAGGTCGACAACGGCAACGGCAACGGCAAGCAAGCAAGCAGAGCGGCGCGGCTTTTTATTTTTTATTTTTTTATTACTATTAAGGTTTTGGGAGATGGGGACGGATGGGAAGGGCGTAGAGGGAAGAAAATGGAGACGGGGGTGCAATGTGAGATTCAGGCAAAACAGAATCGTCGAGAGAGGCAAGCAACAAGGCCTGGAGTTATAAGCATCGTCGGGGATCTCACGGAGACATTAGTGTCTTTATAGGAACACGCCAGGCACTATGTGGTCGATGATCATTTTTCGGGCAGACAACTTATGCATTATTCCATCAATCGTAGCTAAAAAAGGGCTAAGCGGTTGCGGTATGCCAGTATCCCATGCAGCACGTCATGGGAGCCGCTGGGCACTTGTTTAGATCTTGCCTAGTTCATAACAGAGTTGTCTAAAATGCGAGTAATAATCTCACGCTTCTGAGTACGACTTACTTTTGACACGT